ACTTAATTTTCATTTTATTTTTTGTTTCAGGATATGATTAATTCTAATACATTTGTAAGTATTGGATTTTCATCTAAAAAAAGGAAGATGCTTTTGATGCACATTCATTGAATCTTTGCAAATCTAAATTAATCCTTTCTTTTTTCTTTTTCAGGTTCGTTTCCAGTTTCTTTTTTCAATGGGTAGCGGGTAAATTCTTTTTTTGCGAAGAAAGATTTACTTCAGGGATGCGACCCTGCCCACGCGAGCCATGATTTTTTCCTATTTCCATTGATTGGGGAGAAATCATGTCCTTACCTAGAATTTCCCAACCCCCCACCCCATACCAAACGATCCTATTTTTAATATTTTGTTGGCAGGACGAATTATGGAGACGATGCTAAATTCTTTTGATGTCGAGGGGAAAGAGGGATCAAAAGTGGACTGAGGTATGATAAAAATGGTAGTATTTTAATATGTTTATTTTAATATTGCATCGAACTCGTGAGAAAAATCATTGTTAATGCACTTTCATGTTTTTACAAGGATCATGAACCAGTTCAAATTTTGACAGGTACCATGGATCTTTTTACAAATACCATGGTTTAGTCGAAATTTTTACAGGTACCATAGATTAGTCCAAGAGAAGGCGGAAACGAACCGAAAAAGAACTGAGTTATGGTAAATGGTTGTAGAAAATAATTATTTCTATAAGTAAATGTGTTTGTGTGTGAATAATTTTTATCAGCTTATTGTTTCATATAACCATTCCGTCCAAGTGGAAGGAGAAGTGGATTAGAAGAGGACTAGAAGAGGACGACTTAGTTATAATAAAGGATAGTATAACGTAATAAATTCTATAATTAAATGTATTATTTTAATCTGTTTATTGTTCTCCCCGTAGCATCGCACGCGTGTGATAATTATTCTTAATGTATTTTATTTGTTCATAGGTTCCATGGAACAACCCATAATTGCATACTTTTTGTATTATTTTACTTTTTTTTGATGTAGGTTGAAAATTATTATGTATAAAATATTCATTAATTGTAATCTTCGTATGTGTAATTATTAAAATTATATTGAACTGTATTAGTTTTCACTAAAATCTTGGATGTTACTTGAGTTTTATTCAGATGCATTTCTCATTTTCATTTATTTATTCAGTTATTCAAACTTTTCTCTTTATTCTCGATAATCATTGTGAGGTTTCTTAGATGTAATTCTTAGGGTGGAGCCTAAGAGTGGGGCTTTATAAAAAAACTTTCTCGGGGTGATCATTTTCTTTGGTTTCAATTTCATTCGGATGGGGACATCTTCAGGATGCACATCCCGGGTCTTCAGAAGCGGTTACCTCCTCGTGGTTAGACCTGGGCAATGGTATTTTACTTTCAGTATAATGTTTAACATATTTTATATGTTATACATTCCATTGCAAGTAAAATCCAGCCAAAGACCGCTTACCATAAACATTATAATTGTAATTAGTTTCTTTGAACTTCCTAATTGACATCATATTTCTCTATTCCTTTCCTTGGGTTCCTTCTATCCATTTAATATACAGAAACTAATTACTTTATAATGTTTTTTAATAACTTTTATGTATTTTCAGATACCAGGGAGTAGTCCAATATTGTTTAAAATTAATTTTTATCTTATTTTGTTTGAGAATTGGATTAATTCTAATGCAAGTACAAAAACAACAATGTATTAAGTAATTATTATTGAATTTTTTAAATGAACCAATGTAGATCAATTTGAAATATATATAAGATGTGCACTCACCGTAGAAACGCTGGTCAGTACTTTTAACAGCAGAACAAAATGTATAAGTATTCTAAATTGTACATTAATTGCATATTTAAAATCTATAATTGCACACTTTATAATTTAATTATTTAATTAGGTATTAATATAATTAAGAAAATGAAAACGTTTTTTCTCATTTCTAAGCAAAGCAATCAAGTTTTCTACTGTTTTTTTTTTTTTTTCAATTAATTGCTAACTTTTTGTTTGTTCGTTTTTCTCAGGTCTTTCTAGCTACAATATAATATCGATTTTTTGTTTAATCTAGTAAATCTTTTTCTCTGTACCTGTTCCAAGATGATCGTTCTTAATGAATAAGCTCTTTTAATTATTAATAAAAACAAAATATCTATATTAGATTTCTAATTGTTGTTTGTTATTTTAAAAGTATATAGAATTTATTTACACATTAACTTTGTGTACATTGCTTCCGATTTGAAACAGGACCTTTTAACGGGGATTTTTTAGGTGGTCAGAATATTTAAAAAGGTTTTTACCAAATGCTTACTGTATGCAGTTTTAACATTAATTTTACTATATCAATTAACGAAATAAATTTAACGAATCAAATATTTGAATAGATTTTAACTTAACAGCTGAGCTTCAAATTTTGTAAATATTTATATATAATTGTGTTATAATCTGATAAAGGTTAGATAATAACTGTACGTTTGAAATTTTAAAGATAACGGATTGGTTAGTTTATATAAAGAAAGAAATGATAAAGAAATGAGAACTAGCAGATTATTGAATTATTAAATTATTGGTCAGATTATAACGGGAAATATAGATTGAAGATTAGAATTATTGTAAAAATTAATCGTTAGATGCAAATTTGTATTAGAATTGACAATTGAGCTTTATCTATTACTAACACATTGTATATTAAATATTATATTATTATATTACATCTTTATATGTGTGTGTACGTGTTTCAAGGTAATGGGAGGTGAAAATATCATATGTTATGTTTTTTCATTGCAATATTTATATCATTTATATTATCAGAATTATATTAATAATACATAATATAATTGTAATTATATATAATTAATTTCGTATTAATATAAAATTACTGTTGATTTTTAATTATTACAATATTATTAATAAATGATATTTGTTACGTGATAATTATTATCATTGGTATTTTAATAATAATACTATTGCATATTATTTTTAATTGCACACATGCTTAGTTCTAGAATATTTATAATCCCTTCTTGAGCAACCCTAACTTCAAAATTCCCCTACTCCAACTCTCCTGACGAAATTTACAATTGGTCACAAAGTTTCCCCCACTTCATCGACTTTGGGCCTCGCAATTTTGGATTACAAGATCCCCTTGAATATTTGGATTTCAGTCTTATTTCGATTCTTAAATATCATTGTTGATGTAGTATCTCTTTATAATTATAGTATAAAGTAAAAGAAAAAAAAGTGGATTCTCGTAATTAAATGATTATTGATATCTTACAAATCATTATTTAAACTACTGATCAAAAATAATTAAGGGATCTCTACGAAAAATAAAAAAGCAAAGTTTGAAAGCGTTTGACTCGTTAGAAGAATACTCGAGAAACAAAATAGTACCTAGTAATGAGATCCTCATATGATTAGTGTTTTTTTTGACATTGAATACAGTATATAATTGTTCATTTAATTACGAATATAAAAATGACATCAACGAAATTTCAAAAAGCGAAGAAATATACTTCATTACAAGACATATCAAATTTAATTCCTGAATTTAATGGTTCTTATCCGGATGCTTTATATTTTATTATTCAATGCGAAAGAGCTTGTAAACTGACAGCAAGACGTAATATTGAGAAATTAAGGAATATTATTCTTTCAAAAATTGTCGGTCAACCAGCATCATTATTTCATAACACAGATAAATCTATTACTGATATATTACAAATAATCAAAGAGAAATATTTAACTGAACCAAATTTGTTCTATCAAACTAATATGGAAAATTTACAGACATATAACTATTTATCTAATACATCGAAATACCCACAAGTGGGACATATTGGAACAGTTCCACTTAATAGACCGGAATTTCAACAAGTTTCACAATTTGGATATCCACTTACAATTAATATGCCGGGATTTCAACAAATACCGCAATTAGTCAATCCACTTATTAGACCAGAATTCCAACAAGTATCCCAATTTGGATATCCATTAAGTATAATGGGTTTTCAACAATTACCGCTATTGGTCAATCCACCTAGTAGACCGGAATTCCAACAAATACCGTACGTGGGTAATACACATGAAAGACCAGAATTCCAACAAGTATCACAATTTGGATATCCATTTAGTGTACCGAAATTCCAACCATTACAGCAAATGGGAAATGCAAATGACAGACTAGAATTCCAACAAATATCACCAGTGAGCAATACAGATAGAAAACCGGAATTCCAACAAGTATCACCAGTAAGTAATACAGATGAAAATGCAGAATTCCAAAAAGTATCGCAAGTGGGCAATACATATGAAAGAATGGAATATCCACAAGTATCACAATTTGGATATCAATTAAGTAGACCGGAATTCCAACCATTACCGCAAATGGACAATGCACATAAAAGAATGGAATATCCACAAGTAACACAATTTGGATATCCGGTTAGTAGACCGGAATTCCAACCATTACCGCAAATGGGCAATGCACATGAAAGAATGGAATATCCACAAGTATCACAATTTGATTATTCATTTAATAAATAGAAATTTAAAGAAGTATCGCAATTTTGATATCCATTAAGTAAATCGAAATACGAGCAAGTAATGCAATTTGAAAATTTAGATCGTAAATTTGAATTTCAAGGAGGATTGCAATTTATGAGATCCACATTTTAAACTAGAATATCAATAATATTTTATGTTTCGTATGTAATTTATTATTTGTTATATATATATATATATATATATATGTATAATTATTGTTTAATCGTAGATAATAATTAATTTTTTACTTATAAATAATTTATTTTCATATTATGACTCCTATTGTTTTAGGTAAAATCATATTATTCATTTTAGGATCTTTGGATTTATCTAATACAGATTTTAAAATGCAATATTGTTTGTACTCAAAGTGTCATTCCCTTTCCCAGTTTATTTTATTGTTTTATTATTAGTTTTAGAATATATAAAGTATAAATGAATATATGCATAAATTTGTTACATACATCGAATAATTAATGCGTTTGTTTTCTATGACTTCGTTTTTCAGTATAACTTGTTGCATCATTTCTAATTGTATAATTGTCAAAATTTTCTATATCACTTTCGTCGCTTTCACTTCTTATATCACCTTCAACCTGTAACAGTGTTTTATTGAATGTAAAATCAAGTATAAATTCATTGTAATTTTTATATAAATGTAAAATAATGAATATCATATATACGAACACAAATACACTTTAATTAAAAATTTGGCTTTTTTTTTTGCGAACATTGTTAATCACAGTGTTCTTTCAATCATTTAGTTGTGATATTATTAATTTTATAAATACCTGACCAACATAGAAAGCATTGTATGCGATCCTAATAATAACACAAGTCCAAATTACATGTAGGACAAATAATAGACTCAATAATGTACTAAAAATATAGAATGATAGATTTATCATAAGTTTGGACACTTCAGTAATTGCACTGGAATAAAATAAACAATAATACAATTTTAATGTAAGATCTTGATTATATTGTAAAATAATTTTGAAAAAAAGATCATAAAAGATTTTCTTTTTACCTGTGAATTATCCAAAAAGGAAAAATACAAATACGTGTGACAATCCATATTATTGTGAAAATAATAAATAATAAATCGCAAGTTCGTTGATAATTAGCATAATTTGTCATTTTTGCCATCTAAACAAATTAAAAAAATTAAATTATAATTCTTTAGCAGTTATCTACTAATTGATATATATATATATATATATATATATATATATATATATATATATATATATATATATATATATATATATGTTAAAGTCAAGGCCAGAAATCAGTCATTGCTAGTAATTCCTCAGCATTACTATGAATGCAAAGAGCCTTCAGACGAAGTCGGAAATTGAAAAATTCTTCAATTTTTTATACTAAAAGTGAATAAATTTTAATGAAACTTATATTAAATTAAAGTGCACTTTTTTGTCTACGCGTAGAATACTTTGTCGAGTTATAAATCGATCTGCAAAGGTTCATAAAATGTCTGAAAATGCAATGCTGTAAATTGTTCATCTTTGCAATTTCTTTGAAAAGTTTCGGTAAATATTTTTTATACTTTTTGCAAATGGATTTTAATGATTTTTATATTAAATTAAAGTACACTCTTTTGTCTACGCGTAGAATACATTTTTGAGTTATAAATCGATTTGCAAAAGTTCAGAAAATGTCTATGAATATGTGAATCTTTTCAATAAAGATAATAAAATATTAATATATATATAAAAGTCATGAAATAATTAATCACGAAAAGGATATTCGAAATATATGTTATATTTTACTTACTTCTAAGAATATTTCAGAAGAATCATGTAATAATAAAATTAATGAGCCAATCCGTATCCAATTCATGAGCCACGAAATGTACAATAATAGATTAGTGATCATGTGATGAATAAATATTTGCCAAAAATCTTTTGTTTTTACATCAAAGAATTGAGAAATACTCGACAATAGGTAAAATCCAATAGATATTGCGTAATACCACCATATGTCATTGGTCACTACATGATTTGGATAGTTGTAATAACAATGATTTATATCCCATAACCATGGTTTATTCCATAAAATAATAAGTCCGTATGAGAATGAACATGTATAATAGAAACATCTCCAGCTATATTAAAAAATATTTTTTTTAAATATCACACACATACTTTGAGCAGATAATTTGAGATAAATTTCAGTTTTATACTTTTTATAAGTTCTAACATAAAAATTGTTCGAATCTTACCCACTTTCGCAAAATTTTCTCAACTTGGATGATTTATTTTGAGAACATCTAATTCTAATCCATTTTTTAATTTGTCGTTCAGATAAATCCAATTGTTTAGCCAATGATAATATCTTCAAAATATAATAATTTATTAATAACAATATGTTATATATATATAATTTTAATGATAATAAACTATTGTACCTGTTTCTCTTGTAATTTTTGATTGATGTAAGCTTTCTCCAATATTTCATTTGGCGGTACCATTTTTACTTTCGTATCATTTATACCAAGACATTTACCAAAATATACGAAGCAACATCTGTGTAAAATAGATACAAAAGTTTTACAATTAATAACACGTAGTATATATATATTATTTTATCGTTAAATATGTGTATAATTTACAGTTAAAACATTGACAGTTTACAATTAACACGCTGACGCTCAACGTGTTAATTCATGCCAAAAACCTAAATGTGATAATTAGATGTTTTAGGAAAAGTATATGTAAAAAGAATTGTATCATATTATACACTTAAATTCATTGTTTTAGGAAATAATTAAATGAAATTCATGCGAGGCCAGTAGTTACATTATACGATTGAAAGGTTTTGATTTAATTTTTACAACGATACTCGTAGCTATTGGTTTTTACCTTTTCCTACGTACGTTGAAAACACAATTGTTCTTTCAATCGTATTATTTTATCGGATCTATATCTACGGATCAAAAGTCTATTCAATTTTTGTTCGTACTTTAACAGGTCGGTATAATAAATAAAATGAATTCCATAATATATTAAAATTCTTACCTTTCTAAAAAATATTTCATTATCATCAGAATTACGGCTATCGGTAATGAATATATAAAAATTGTATTATCGATATACTTGTTTAAATGATCCCATGTAACATCGACTGGTAACCACGTATTTGGCGAGTATATTACTGACGATATATTCATTAAAGTATTCATTGTTAATTATTAATTTAAAAATAAATATCTCGATTTCTAAGAAATTTATTAATTTAATAATAACCGTGTTTGTCGGCTGAAGAATAATGATTGAATTCATGATTATTAAATTCTATAGAAATACTTTTTTCATCGCATTAAAAATTTGCTGAGTTATTATTATTGCCTAAGGCTGATTGTTAATGTCTACAATATCGGTTGGTTACAAATTTAATTATTAGGTATATGTTTTATTGTATTCACAACGCAGTGATTTTTTATGCTTACGCAAAAGGAAATAAGATCTTTTAAAACATATGGATAACAATATACGATAATAACTCAAAACAATAAGAATTCATTTCGAGAATAATCATTTAAAATGTGATTTATCAAGCGAGATGATATCGTAAGTAATTATTTCATTTCGTTCGTTCTACAATTATGTAACAACACACATAAAGAAAATAATAGTCTACGATTGGTTCTGATCGTACAGACTGACATTAAATTTTTATTTATGGTCACAAAGTCACATGGTCGTTAAAATAATTCAATTTATTTTCTTATGTTCTAGAAGAATATATAATTTAAAAAAATATTGCATTTTATTTGTGTGAAAAAAAAGAAAAAAAGAAATATTAATAAACTTTGTGTCGTTTGAAAATTATTTTGCGTTGAAGGAACATAAAAATAAAGGTCTTCGGTTTGATTTAATAAATTTTGTCGGGCGATTGCTCTGACTCATTTGAGCTACTTAGGAACGAGGTTTAGAATATCCTGCAATGTCAAATCTCATATTAACACGGTAAGAGATTTATTATAAAAATAGATATATAATTAATATTAAATATTTGTTCGAAACCCGCAATTACAAGGATACATATAATTTTTTCTTTTGTATCGTTTTTTTTCTTAAAATAGTTGTTATTAATATAATATTGTTTGACAATACTCATATCTTAATCAATATAAAGTGACTAGACCACTTATAACTAATATTTATTTTTTTGTTTCTTTGCAGGGAAACGAAACTTGATTATACATAAGATTGCATATGTATAATATAAATTATAAAAATCTCAAGGCCGTGTATTTAGGGATTTAAAGAGGATATAGAAGAAATTTTAGTAACGCAAATATACGTATTGTCAATGAAATTATTTAAACCTATTTGTTCCTAAGCCGGGATTCGAACCCGAAACCTTTCGCTTTCCGAATAAATGCTCTACCACCTGAGCTACGAAGACCTACGTTAGAATCTATATCTAAACACGTTTATATACATTAGATTTTCGTAATATGTGTAATAAGCTTACTATAATCTACTAAATAATCATTTTTCTGTTAACAGAATTTCATTTAAAATGATAAATATATGTACGTTTAAATTTCTAATAAGTTATTTAATAAGAAATTAATAATATTATATATTAATAATCTTAATTCATATAATATATAATAATATTATAATAAACTTATATATAAAACTAATAATATAATATAATTAAAAAATAAAATAATAAAAATTTAATATAATATAATATAAAATAATATAAAATAATATAAAAATAATATAAAATTCATCTTTATTTCTTTATTACATATCATCAAGGGATATGTATAACGTTTATAAAAATAGATTCAATTTAGAATTTATAACATTAACTATTTAATTTTGGAATGTTACAATTTTTTATTCCTTTAAATAACAGTTTGTTTATGTAGGTTTATTCTTGAAGTTTGATTCAAAGTCAAAAAACATTTGTTCTAAGGATTTTAAATGGGATTCTCTCCGATGCGTAAATATAAACATCTAACGACATTTAATTCTGCCCAAGCACACGTATTTACTTATCAGTTTAAATTAGATTATATCGCAGATAAATTAAGATTAGAAATAATTATATATTGTAAGCATTCAAAGATTTTTGATAAAGGTTAATAAGAGAAAAGAAAGATATATCTTAAATAAATACACATATCACAAATTGAAATCCAAACTGTTATTAAATTTAAATATATTTTCACATCATAGGCGTATACCGTAAATTTACAAATTAAATAACGATTTAATATACATAATTTTATGTGTACTTATACATAAAAATAAATTAACTTCTAAATAAAATTGTAAATTAAATATTATGATAAAATTCATTTTGCCAAAGATGTAGGGAGCTAAAACATTTTGTCTTTTGTATATTAATTTTTTGTATTTTTTTTAAAAATAAGTATGAAATGTCCGATTACTCCAATATAATTTCAATTCGAAATTAGATATTTCACAATTATTGTATTTGATATACTATACGGAAAAATGATTTTTCCTTAGATGTAGCATAAATTAAATTAAAATATTGGACACATCTGTTTGAAGGAACCCTACAAACCCCCACCATTTGAGTTAGAAATTCTAAAATTTTTCTCACTCTTTCCCTTCTACTTTAGTATAAGATAATATTCTAATATTTACTCATTGTGCTATTCTTGTAGTCATTGTCAAACTTTCTTCACGAGTATACCATATAACAATTGTAAGAGCAGTTTAATAGGATACCATCGATAAAAAGAAAAAGAAAGAAGACGTGATCGTTTTACTTAAAAAAACAAAAAAATACTTGAAAGTATAGTACCGTGAGTAAAAAATAATGATTTCATCCAGAAGTATCTTATCATATTGAACTGATATAATTAATTCAAATTTCAGTTCGGATTTTATTTTTATTTTAATCGACGACTGAAATAAAATCAAATTTACAATAAAAAAAAAAAACGATTAGAAAATAAAGATATGGCACATGACAATCCTACGATGGGACTTAACAAGCAAAAATCCGAATTTTTCGTTGCCCAATTGATACATTTGAACGACATTTTCGACAAAATTGATGATAAACTTATGGTATTGGAATCAAAGGAAGAGTTAGAAAAATTAAAATATTTTACTCGTTCCGATAATATAATAGAAAAGGATAATCAATTTATCAAAGCTACAGTAAATATAACAAATTATCAAAACGAATCTACCGATTCTATTCATAAACGTGCAAAAATAATTGAAAATTTAAAGAAATATTTGAATCTTATAAATTATTTCAACGGTAGCAATATATACGTAGAAGAATTTATTACCGATATTAAAATAGTATTAGACAAACTTCCCATAGAAGAAAGAGAATTGTTCTTTATGTTAATCCATAAACAGAAAATAATTGGTGAAGCAAAAAGTTTGTTAGACGGAATTCAAATAAATAACGTTAAAGAATTGTTCGAAGCACTTCGCGTATTATTCGGAGATACAACTGAAATTGTAAATGCTAGAATGAAAAGGAACGAATGCATTCAAGGAAACGATTCGATATCAATGTATAATTTAAAATTTTTACAAACTCAGGTAGATATAATAAAAGCTGTTGTTAACAATCCTGCTTTACCAGCGTCGAAAAAGAAATTTAGATTATTGGACGAAAAAAGAAGTGCATTAAATGCATATATTTCTGGTTTAAAGTACGATATCAAAATTTTATTATTGCTCAAAGCTTTCAAACCGGAAACTCTCTCTGATGCAATTAATATGGCATTGAATATAGAAAGAAATCAAAAAATATTTTTATCTTAATTTATAATGTTTCGTATGTGAAAATGTTCAAAATATCTTCCTAAAGATTATCTGAATCGACAAATTTTTAAATAGCAAGAAAAGTCAGATTATATATTAATCAAAAAAAAAACCAACAATTTAAACTACAATTTGTGAAATCGATAACAGTAAGCTACTTGGGGGTATTAAAAAATAATTGTTCATTTACATATATAATATATTTATTGCGCATTAATATTTTCTAAAATGTACATTTGTATTTTAAATGCCAATTTTTGTCATGTATTCAACGTTTGTATTAAAATTTATTACATAATATAAAATATTTAATATATTCAAAACATATTTGTGTCTTATTTTTACTAAATATTGTATTAATAATTTTAAAAAACTTGACACACACACTTCTCGAATTTTCCCCAACCCCATATATATATATATATCATATAGGTATATACACATATATACATTTGTCAGTTGCCTCGCAGCATACCCCGTGTACATTGGCAGCACACAATTATATAAGTTACATACAAACATTACAAAAATGTTAAAGATGCGCACGATAGGTTGCGCACAAAAAATGTAACGAGGTCATTCGGTTACTAAATTTTACCCTTCATATTTTTTTCATACCGGGCGCCTTATATGAAAATCGATTCTTAGGGAGTAAACTCCAAAAACAAAAAAAAAAAAAATAGGATCTTCGGTTCGATTAAATTGTAATTCGGGCGACTGCTCTACCATTTGAGCTACCTAGGAACTAGGCTTTAAATTTATTACCGGGAAGCATTTAAAACTAAGACCACAATAGAATAATATTCCAAATGTATTCGTAGTATATAATTGATATTTTGTTAGATTCACACTCTAGTTATGAAAAATTAACTAGGGATATATAAATCAACAATATTTTGATCGCTCGCTTTTACAAATACATTGGAGATACTTTCATCAATTTTCCGTGGTCCAGGTGTTAGAGAAAAGGAAACTTTACTACCCGGCGTATTTCAGAGCAATACTGAGATTCCGAAAATGTAAAAATCCATCGTTCCTAGGCCGGGATTTGAACCCAGAACCTTCCGCTTTCCGATCGAATGCTCTACCACTTGAGCCACGAAGTCCTACGTAAACAAATAGTTTAATACGTGTATACATATATACGATTAAATACAAAACTTTGAAAAATTACTACGTTACGAAATATCCAAGAAAAAGGTAAAGATAAATTCTGACCTTTTAACGTAGTTAACGGTATACATTAGTTGATACTTTAGTAACGAGTGTTCGAATAATTAGATGGGTTTTCACCCTTTCTTTAACACTCCCCTTATGTTATGTCATGCTGTTATGAAATTTATTTTGATCGTTACATCATTCAAACAGTTACCTCCTTAAACATATTTCACAATCTCTC